GTGTAGCCGCGCGGCACGGAGTCCGCACTGGAGGACATTTAAAAATGGCGGCGCCAGGCTTTATGCAAATGAAGCCCGGGAAATTCAAATCCCGGGCTTCATTTGCAACTCCGGTTGCCTACATTACCACCCTAGCTCGAACTAGGGTGGTAGTGTAGACATACCCCTTGGTGCAGTAACTGTCGTTCTTCGATATGGTCCCCATGGGTGCTCCACTACCCGCCCACCTTCCCGCTTCGGAGTCTGTGTCCGTTTTGTGTTACAAATACTAAGCCAGGTACAAGGAATTGGCTCAGACCAGACTGAGCTGTGCAAAAGGCCATGAAAGCCACGAGATGCTCCCCACGCATGTGCGGTCTGACAGGACTACCGCTGCAAAAATTTACTACAAAAATCTCTGTCCTGTGGTGCTGGGGCAAGCCCAGCACCTACAGTGGAGCACCCACGGGCACCATCTCGAAGGACAACAGTTACTGCATCAAGGTGAGTAACTTCGTTTTCCACTGAAGGCACGTGCCGCCGCCCACTCCCCAATCCCCTTTGTAGGGCAAAAAAATCCCAGACATTTTTTGCATTTTAAAAAACCTGTTCGGACAGTGATTTAACATGTGAAAACCAAGGACATGTCTGGGAAAATCCGGATGTATGGTAACTCTGCCCAAGCCCCAGCGCAGACCTTTCTCACCCCAGCCTCGCTGCCTGGCTCTGCCACTGCCTCGCTCTCTCACTTCCCAGCTCTGCCACTGCCTTGCCACGTGCCTCACTGCCTGGCTCCCCCACTGCCTTTTGCTGCCTCCGGCAGCTCCTGTGCAAGTGCCGATGTGGCCTGGCTCAGGGAGGTGTTGCCACTGTGGCAGGCGGGGCAGGCGGCTCGGTGCTGCCACTGGTGCCCCAGCAATGAGACAAGTAGACAGCCCAGGAAGCAGTTCAAGGCACCACGTATTGAGTAGCCCTGATCTAGATCATCCCTGACAGGTGTCTGTCTAACGTGCTCTTAAATATCTCCTGGGATGGAGATTCCATAACCCCCCTAGGCAATTTATTCCAGTGTTTAACCATCCTGACAGGCAGGAAACTTTTCCTAATGTCCAACCTAAACCTCCCTTGCTGCATTTTAATCACATTGCTTCTTGTCCTGTCATTAGAGGTTAAGGAGAACAATTTTTCTCCCTCCTCCTTGTGACACCCTTTTAGGTACTTGAAAACCACTATCACGTCGCCTCTCAGTCTTCTCCTTTCCAAACTAAACAAACCCAATTCTTTCAGTCTTCCCTCATAGCTCATGTTTTTTAAACCTTTAATCATTTTTGTTGCTCTTCTCTGGACTTTCTCTAATTTCTCTACATCTTTCCTGAAATGGAACTGGACACAATACTCCAATTGAGACCTAATCAGTGCAAAGCAGAGTAGAAGAATGACTTCTCGTGTCTTGCTCACAACACTCCTGTTAATGCAGCCAAGAATCGTGTTTGCTTTTTTTGCAACAGTGTCAAACTGTTGACTCACAGTTAGCATGTGGTCTACTATGACCCCTAGATGCCTGTGATGGGGTGTAGGGTTAAGCCTAGCTACCTGGCTGAGAAGGCCCCGTCCCCACAGCTCTGCTGGGCATGCTTCTACTGAAGGCCAGCTATAAAGGCAGCTCAGTCTGGGCTGACCACCCACAAGGAAGAAGGTACTGCTGGAGGTCCTGAAGGAGAAGCACACGCACACCCAGATGCAGTCACCAGTCAGCAGGGAACTACAGCAGAAGTCCAAGACAGGAGGAAAGAGATGGAGCAGACTATGAGGGAGAAACTGTTAGGAAGTAGTCCAGGGGAAGGAGTTGAATCCCACCCAGATGCTCAGTGTGTTTTGGCTGGAATCCTTGCCAAACTATTGGAGATCCACACCACCGCTGACAGGGCCCTGGGCTGGGAACCGGTGGAGAGGGCAGGGCCCCCTATCCTTTCCCCACCAACCTCACAAGGGACTCTTAACCATCCCAGTACTAGAGGCTCTGGATGCTAGGCCACGCTGTCCTCTGTGAAGGGAGCTGTATTATTGACTCTGGCTGCTAGGCCCCACTGCCCTGTGTTCAGGGAGCTGTATATTTGAACTGTGGGATGCATGCAGGGATGAGATCCAAGTGAGGGGCCACAGAGCAAGGCCCAGTACCCCCTCCTGAAGGGAACAGGCGTGCTCACCCCATGACAATCCATTTCCACAGTACTCCTTCCTCGATAGTTACTTCCCATTTTGTATGCATGAAACATTGTTTCTCCCTATGTGGAGTATTTTGCATTTATTCTTATTGAACATCATCCTATTTATCTGAGGACATTTCTGCAGTTTGTTCTGATCATTTTGAAATATGACCCTATAGGATCACCTGTAGGATGATGGGCCTGGCAGTATCAGTCCCTAGAATATCTAACTGGATTTCCAGTTGCTGAACTAGCTAGTTTAGATCTGCCAGTTAAAATTAGTGTCCACTCCATCAGAATCCAGGCAGATACTGTGACCATTCTCAGATCTGTTGAGCAGCTGTGGTATTGGTTTCATACATTTACACCTCAATCATCTGTGAAGGCATCAGTAACTGAAAACCCCTTTCGCAAAGCACTTCTTCAAGTAATTATTCAAATAGACAGCAAGCATCCTTTTCTGTGTGTCCCTCTGTGTACTTTGTGACAGGGGGTCATCACATGAAACGGAGGGAGGGGTGGCTAAATCATCACATACTCCTCCTTCTATACCAGGGTTCCTCGTTCCCACCCATATAATTTCTCTGTGTGCACCCTGATTCCCCCCACGGCAAGGATTTGATGCATCCCGTTCCATGCTTTCTCACTCTTCCTCCCAAAAGCAGTGCTCCCAGCTCCCTCTCATCAGGCAATGTGTGTGTGTGTCCCCTTATACTCTCCACCCATTCTAGAGTCCCCAATATTCTACCCATGGCTGGAGTTTTTCTCTTCTATACAAAAATGAGAGTCCCGCTGTGCACCTTCCTGCCAGGGGAGATCTGTCTGCCCTAATTCCCATCTTCCTCTCCATGTCAGAGGTTGTGTGCTTCTTCTCTCCTCCTTATTAGGATCCCCAATCTCCACCTTCTGTCCTGTGCCAAGCATTCAGTGTGCCCATTACTGTCTTCTTCCTATGCCAGCAGCTCGGTGCATGCCTCTGGTCCTCCCTTTCCTCCCCCACCCCATCATTCTTTCTGTCTGGGGGTGAGACATTCCAGGGTGTCAGTCATTGGTAGGAGGGATAGAGATGAGATGGAGTGTTGTTATGCTGGAAAGCATAGTGGGTGCTTATAAGGTATCTGCTTATACCTTTCTTTGCAACATCTGGTGCTGGCCATGTTTGGAGACCGTTTACCAGGCTAGGTACTGATCCAGTGAGAGAATTTTTGTGGTGGGTGGGATGTAGAATGTTCGTAATTTCAACTTCTTTGTGTCCTGGAAGTTAGATCTACAGTAGTAACTGAAGATCCCACATCAACTTTCCCCAGTAGATTATGCTAAACTACTAGGTTTGGAATTATATGGGCTCTTATTTACCTTTAAATACTTAAATCATGGATCTTATTACATGCAATAAGATGCTAGTAGCAGTTTTAGGGTATTACCACTTCACACACACTCCCTTTGTTGATTGTCGCCTTTATAAATTACTTTAATTAAATTTGTAGACAGATGGCTTTAATTTGCATAAATTGGTGTCAGTTCTCATTAGTCCCTGATATCAGCAATTGCTAGCTTTGGTAAATATTTAGATTTGGTAAATGTCTTGCTCAGAATGAAGCATCTCAGTCTACTTTGTGTAATAAATTCCCTAATTACACAAAGGCGGCGAGGAGTCCTGTGGCACCTTATAGACGAACTGAAGTGTTGGAGCATAAGCTTTCGTAGGCAAAGACCCACTTCGTTGCATCTGATGAAGTGGGTCTTTGCCCACGAAAGCTTATGCTCCAACACTTCAGTTCGTCTATAAGGTGCCACAGGACTCCTCGCCGCCTTTGTGTAATTAGGGAATTTGTAAATACTAAGCTATAAAAGTTTTTTAACTTCAGTTTCAGATGAGAGTGAACTGCACACAAGTGGTACTTTGAAAGCTTCAGAGAAGTCGACAATGGAACAGTTAATAGAAAGAGCCTGTTTTAGAGACTATCAGCGTTTGGGACTGGGTACTATCAGTAGTAGCTCTTCTCGCTCAAAAACAGAATACTTCCGAATAACTGCATTGAACAGGATGTATTCACTTTGTAGAAGGTGAGTTAATTAGTTCATTCATGTTTAGAAGTGTGCCTCTGCCATATTACACATCGTCGACAACATACATTACATATAACACATCAATTTAAGACCAAAGCATTGTGAGGAAATGCCCATGGCTGCTATATATGAACCTCTGAATGGCAGTATGAAATTAACGCATGAACTTTTTCTGTTGTGAAAATTCATTGAGATTTATAATCAGTGTCTGTAAAAATGCTGTAAAAACACAAAAGCAAATCTGCAGGAGTTTCCTCACTGGAGCACTCACATACTACAAAGATATGGTAGGCTAAAAGTTGTTTTCATTAAGAAAAAATGAAATTGCCATATGCTTTTATGGCAGACTGTCTTTTATGCAAGACAGCAATGTGATAGCAATACCTTTATTCTATTGTTAGTGAATATGAGTTAAATTTAATCAAAGAAATCACTGCGTTATGCTTTTAAATTGCTTATAATCACTATATTCTAAAAATAAGTTTCATACCTTATTCTTACCCTAAAGTACCTCTTCGATTTTTTGTCACTGTTTTGAGAAAAGGAATCAATATCCAATTGGTTATGATATGAGTGGTTAATTAATTTCATGTGGTTTTGGCTCAGGTACTGTGTTTTAGCAAATGGACCATAAAGCAGATTTAGTTATTTATTCCCCAATGATAAAGTTCTGTAAATGTCACATTAATTCACGTACATTGTGGCACAAACACTCCTATGTTGTGTGTTATAGAAGAAGAGGGGTTCTTCAGTAAAATGTGAAATTTCCCAAGTGCTTTCCTTAATCAGTTTTCTCTCAAAATAAAACTGACACTTTAATTGAATCCTCTTGTGGGAGGTAGACGAAATTGTTCAAATTCCTTGAATCCTTCATCCATGTATATGACCAGAGAAAATATTGTTGCATGATTTTGTTTTGAAAACTATTATGTCACAGAAATTCCCAAACTGTCTTTGTTTTGTTTTTTTAAACATTATATAACAAGCAATTTGTAATGTGCTATTCAAAGACAGTTTCTTACTAAAATATTATATGCATTTTGACATCAGCCTGTCATGGCCAATGCCAAAGTCATGGGGAAGGTTTTCTTTTGTTTGTTTTAGTGTTTTAATTCAAAGCATCTAACTTTCTTGCCTTTAAAATGTCAGCATCTGTATACAATCACTGATGTCAAATATTGAAATATTATTTGTTTCCTTTGAAGAGTCCAATCTGTTTTTATGTTGTTTTCACAAATCTGATGGTTCAAATGACTGATGAGGTAGAAATTTTAGGAATAAGTGGGGAACAAGGAGAACTATCAACAAATAAGACTGTAAATGAAATGAAAAAAGGAGGAAGTAATCATATAAATTTTCTCCAATGAAAGCTTCTGTTAAAAAATTCTAATGTGTTTCATCCTACCAAAATAATAATCTGGACTACAATCTGTTAGAAAAATTAGCTCTTCTTTAAAAAGTGTTAAATGTGAATAGATAGATAGATAGATAGATAGATAGATAGATAGATAGATAGATAGATAGATAGATAGATAGATAGATAGATAGATAGATAGATAGATAGATAGATAGATAGATAGATAGATAGATAGATAGATAGATAGATAGATAGATAGATAGATAGATAGATAGATAGATAGATAGATAGATAGATAGATAGATAGATAGATAGATAGATAGATAGATAGATAGATAGATAGATAGATAGATAGATAGATAGATAGATAGATAGATAGATAGATAGATAGATAGATAGATAGATAGATAGATAGATAGATAGATAGATAGATAGATAGATAGATAGATAGATAGATAGATAGATAGATAGATAGATAGATAGATAGATAGATAGATAGATAGATAGATAGATAGATAGATAGATAGATAGATAGATAGATAGATAGATAGATAGATAGATAGATAGATAGATAGATAGATAGATAGATAGATAGATAGATAGATAGATAGATAGATATTGTTTTCAGATTTGAAACAGGGAAGAGGAAGAATCTTTTGAAAAGAAGTCTAATTATCTTCTTAATTTCTCTCCATTGATTAATATAGCTATCCTGGACTTTTGGTAGTACCTCAGGCTGTGCAGGACAGCAGTTTGCACAGGGTAGCTCGTTGTTATCGTCATAATCGCCTGCCAGTTGTCTGCTGGAAAAACTCAAAAATCAGTACTCTGCTGCTGAGAGCTGGGGGCTTCCATGGAAAGGGAGTTGTTGGCCTCTTCAAACCTCAAAATACACATACTGCAGGTGAGCCGAATTGCTGGCAGGAGGATAAAAATCAGTGATTTTTTTAATAGGAGCATTTTTTTTATTTAAATCAGATTTTTTATTTAAATCGGATTTTTTCTGATAAAATGTTTTTTGAGGAATAAACCTATCTAAGGATAGTTTTTAATTAAGATACATTAAAGCTCAAAGATATCTCATCATAGAATAGGGATTATAAATTCTAATTATATAATATGAGACAACATATCCATGTAATATTTAAGACAAATTTTGTAAATGAGTTCCAATAGTTCATGGATTAGGGACCCCATCTTATGGGGTTCCAGAGGCTTCTGTACAGATTAGGTTAATCTTTCTGCCTACACAATGGTACTCAATGCTCATTCTACAGGATGACATCAGAGATGCTTAGGTTTGAATTTCTCAAATTGTGGGTTTATGTCTCCAGAGATAACATGCTTGTTAACAGTAAAAATGTTTTAAATAAATAAATAATATAGAGAGGTGAGAAATAAGGGTATGTCTACACTACAGCGCTAATTCGAACTAACGGATCCAGACTAAAAAACTAGTTCGAATTAGCGTTTTGCTAATTCGAACTAGCATGTCCACACAGAGTGGACCCTGAACCGGGGTTAAGGATGGCCGGAAGCAGTGCCGGCAGGGCATCAGATGAGGACTTAGAGCATGGAGCTGCTGTCTCAGGCTAGCCGAGGGCTGTGCTTAAAGGGACCCGACCCCCAC